TAAATTATGGACGTTGAAGCCGGGTTGTGGCATGGAATCGTCCAGCGATCGATTACTGGGTCCACTGAGCGACGCAATTAATTCACACCCCGGAGCTTCCGCTCGCCGATGCCAGGTCGTGTTCGCCGCTGAGACACCCTTGTAATTGTAGTTCATGTTGAAGGGGCATGAGCATAACAGCAGTTTCTGTACCCTCCAACTCTTTTCTTCCTTCTTTTGACATCACAGGCTTCTTCCCTACTCCCCAATTTAACCATCATGAAGCTTCTCGGTTTATCGCTGGCCGCTGGCCTCATTGCAGGCTCGGGTGTCAATGCTACACCGAAGCAATCCAAGAATGAGCCGCTCTTCTCTTACAATGCCAATTTGCTCCCTCTGGAGAAGAATGTTGGGTCGTCGGATCTGTTCCCCATGGCGGATTGCAATGGGTTCAAGCTTGAGGAGGCTACCTTCACGGAGATGCAGGATGCTATGAAGGCTGGCAAACTCACGTCTGTCCAGCTTGTGACGTGCTACCTCGTCCGACATTACCAGACAGCAGAGTATATCAAGTAAGTACTTGGACTCAATATCTTCAATTGATGCAATTGATGCCTCTTAAATACAAAACTAACAAACACAGCTCTGTCATGCAAGTCAATCCCGATGCCTTCGCCATCGCAGCTGAGCGCGACGCCGAGCGAGCAAAGGGCAAAGTTCGCGGTCCTCTCCACGGCATCCCCTTCACTGTCAAAGACAACATCGCCACCAAGGATAGTCTCGAGACCACCGCCGGCAGCTGGGCTCTTCTCGGCAACGTCGTGCCCCGCGATGCGCACGTGGTCAAGAAGCTTCGCGACGCTGGCGCCGTGCTCTTCGGCAAGGCTGCGCTGAGCGAGTGGGCTGACATGCGCAGCAATGACTATTCCGAGGGGTACTCTGCTCGAGGTGGTCAGGTCCGCAGCGCTTACAACTTGACCGTTAACCCTGGCGGCAGCTCCTCTGGTAGCGGTGTTGGAGTTGGTGCTAATGCCATCGCGTTTTCTCTTGGTACTGAGACGGACGGTAGTGGTGAGTTTATTCGTGCGCCTAATGCCATGTCTTGAATCTGACATTCTTCTTCAGTTATCAACCCCGCCAACCGCAACGCCCTGGTCGGGTTCAAGCCCACCGTTGGTCTGACTTCCCGTGCCGGTGTCATTCCTGAGAGTGAGCACCAAGACTCAGTGGGCACTTTTGCACGAACAGTCAAAGATGCCACTCTTGTTCTCGATGCTATCTATGGTGTTGACAAGCGCGATAACTACACCTCTGCTCAGAAGAGCAAGACCCCCAAGGGTGGGTTTGCGCAGTACTTGACAGACAAGAAGGCCCTCGAGGGCGCTACCTTTGGCCTTCCTTGGGAGAGCTTCTGGGTGCATGCGGATGAGGATATGCAGGCTCAGCTTCTTGAGCTTGTTGACCTGATCAAGTCTGCTGGTGCGACGATCATCAATGGTACTGAGATCACTAATTACGAGACTATTGTCAGCCCTGATGGCTGGAACTGGGATTACGGTACTACTCGAGGCTTCCCCAATGAGTCCGAGTATACCTACATCAAGGTTGACTTTTACCGCAATATTGAGACATACCTTAGCGAGGTTGAGAACACCGACGTTCGCAACCTTGATGACATTGTCAAGTGAGTATTCTTCTACACCACTCATACACTGCCACTAACTGTCATTAGGTTCAACAAGAAGTACGACGGCGCCGAGGGTGGCTACCCCTACGAGGACGGCAAGGGCCATCCCGCATTCGCCTCAGGCCAAGACGGCTTCCTCGCCTCCCTCAAGACCAAGGGCAAGCAAGACGAGACGTACTGGCAAGCCCTCGATTTCTGTCAGACCTCTACCCGTAAGGGTATCAACGACGCCCTCACCTACAAGGGCAAGAAGCTCTCTGGCCTGCTCGTCCCTCCCCAGGTCGCACAAGCGCCTCAGATCGCCGCCCAGGCTGGTTACCCCGTCATCACCATCCCCGGCGGCTACGCCAAGGACTCTGGCATGCCTTTTGGTCTCGCCATCATGCAAACTGCCTGGGCTGAGGCTGAGCTTGTTAAGTGGGCCAGCGCTATCGAGGATCTGCAGCGATCGGCTGATGCCCCATCCAAGCGTCGTTTGCCCAAGTGGCTTGGCTACCTTGAGCGTAACGTCCCCGTGCCCTTCTAAGTGGTGGGTAGATGGATGCATGGATTTGAATACTTTGCTGTATAATTTATATATAATAGTAGATACTAGACTTTAAAACTTAATAATATTTGCTCCAGTACGGAGCCAAACTGTCACAAAGACTGCTAGGCCAAATCGTCCAAAATAAAAGAACCCTATACTTCGGGTATTGAGTCGTAACCTGAGGAGTCCTCATCTGATGATGTCTCGTCGTCAGATGATAGATATGCGCTTTCGTAATAATTAACTACTGTGTCTTATGACACAAACAATCCCTTCATACTCTCGACAACACATTTTTAAATCCCGACGCCCTCATTAACCCGACCCATGGCCTCCGACTTTTTCAATACGGTTGAAATCAAGCTCTTGACTTCTTCCGTCGACAACTTTTCAGCCTTAAATGACACGCCACGACTTTCTTTCTGGAGCACAGAAGCCGATAAGAACTTCTCCGTTTCGTGGCTCATCTCCCAGCCCCAGCTACTACATAGTCGGTAAAAAGACTCATGACCTGAAAGATTGCCTGAAGCGTCGTAGTTGAAGAGTCCTGCACTTGAAGGTCTCATATTATATACAGTAAGGAACTGCATATTGGGCATTTGGAGCAGTGCCCTGATTACTAGCCTGAGTAAGTAGTGGCTCGTCGATGGTGCTCTCTCGACTATCCGCTGTGTTGACCAGATCGTGAGACTCCGAAGGGTGGGACGTATGCCCCTGATCACTCTCTTGAAGAACTGGAATGCATCGATGGGGAAACTTATGTAAAGATGTCGGAGGAATTGTGCCTGATCCGCCAACACCGAAGGGAGTCGTCGAATCAATTTAGCATCAGGATTCAACACTGACCACTCAATATGAGGTTGTAACAGAACAATTTGGATGCTGTCCACATGGTGAGGCCAACTCATAACGACATCCGACAGCTCATGTTGCAACAATTCCTCTTGCGACTGGGGCCGCATCGGTTCCATCTCCCAGAAAAGATGCTTGAGAGCAGAGAGTCTTTCCATCAGCTCCAATACCATGATGCTAGCAAAGCGACGCTTGCTTCTTCGCAAGATGGAGAGACTCGTGATATCATCAACCGTGGGCAATTGCAGCGCAGGTCCTTGGTACCCTTCAACCTCGAAGCCAAGGGTTAAATTAAAATTGTCCAGGGCGTATTCGATGAGCCACTGCTGTTCAACCGTTCCGATTCTTTGTCCGTTAAAGTCGATCGGTCGTTGAAAGGCTGTAAGCTGGGCAGCGATAACCTGCCACGAATTCTGGGAGTCTGCGAGCAACTCTAGCCCAATACCTCCACTTTGGACATGTTCCATGTTCCATGTGCTCAGCTGGACAAAAAGATCGTAGACCGTCTCCAGTAGGGCAATGTTGTTCTTCACCTCTCTCGAACCAGGAGGCAACTCGAACTCATTTACCACGTCAATTAGATCCGCCTCAAGCAGCACGTCTATAATAAAACTCTCCTTCCACTCCTCCATCATTCTGAAAGGAGGAATTTCATCAGGCAGTCTTATAACTAGAGCGATCTGACGTAAATACTTTCTCCTTCGCTCGATACGAAAGATATGAGCGAACGTTTCCATGTCATTTCTTGTAACATGGAGAGTATCCATTGTTCGAGGCTCAAAAAAGTCTTGCCATTGTTCAGAAACCGTGACGTATCTCGAGAGCGATGTTCCGATACTGTATGGCGCATCCGGCTTGTGTTCTACACGGGTTTGAAACTCCAGCTGGGCGAGGTGTTCCAGAACAGTGAGCTGGAGTTCGGTTGGTAGAGTAGACCAGTACATGTTGGAGATAGTGATCAGATTGAGTGATGTGAGTAGTTATTGAGGGTTAGCTGATTAGTTCAGTATGATTAGGAATCGAGGGATGAGAAGTGATGTAATTTTATAAAGGTTCAGGTTTCGTAAATGAGACGTAACTTATAGTAAGGACATGAAGAAAAGAGTTTTGATTAAAACAGTCGGCATTGCTCAAGTGGCAGTCTCATAAGAAAGTACCATTTTGCTGATCTAGGTTCATCAGTGAGTCGTTTAAGCTATCGCGATAACTTTATGTTTTCTTCCTAGGAGTAGGGCAGATTTACACAACCTTATCCGACCAAGGAGTTTCTGGGTACCTACTCCCTATTCGCTCATCCTGTTTATGTCCGCAATTTGACTCCGGATTGCTTCTGTTGAAGTTCCCCCCAAGATAAAACCAGGTTTAGGACACGCCCGGAAGACTTTCGCGGTCTTCAGGAAGCTATGTGCCGTAGCCCTGGCCAGCAAGAAGGGCCAGTCTCAGCGTAAGATCAACCTACCCCCATTCTTTGGGCTAAAATACATAACTGCCGATGATTCCACTATAAATCTAAACAGACCGAAGGTTTGCAGGTTGGGCATATGAGGAGATGTGTCGGCGGAAAAGTGATAAGAGAGCGGCCGGTTGGTTTAGAAAACTCGTCGAGAGCTATGAGACTGGCCTGTCTGCTGCAGTGTGACCCCTGCCATAGTAATTGAATAACCTTTTCAAATACCTCGGCGAGATCAGGGTCACAAAAATAGAAAACACAATTTCCTTCCACATATTAGGCATTGGATGTCTCCTGTCGTTGTCTATAAAGAACATGGTAGGCGCATAACAGAACCTATACCGCAGATGCCGGCCGATGGGTGACAACATGTTGAGGAGCAACTGACTTGAAAGCTTAATGGTTACATGATGTCACAAGATGTCACAAGATGTCACAAGAAAGACGGCAAAAATGTTGATGTGACGGATGAGAACATAATGCGCGACAGCGTTCAAAAAGTGAGGTCCTACCCGGGTTCGAACCGGGGACTTCGGAAGGAGAGACGGGTAAGGTCAAAATCCAACGTCCTAACCACTAGACTATAGGACCGTAAGTGCTGATTGCTGCTGGTAATACTGCCTATATCCTACATTTCAACAAGATTCAGCAAATGTGTGTCGAAGACAAAAAGCGAGGTCCTACCCGGGTTCGAACCGGGGTCTTCGGAAGGCTTTCGGTCTAATCAAAATCCGACGTCATTACCACTAAACTATAGGACCAATGAATGCTCGAGGCGTTCAAAGACAAGCTCATGAATCCTTCTCGTTTCCAACGCGAGGTCTTTGTTGATCAAGCCAAAGTCCCCGGGTCATCGAGTTCTTCCAGCTAATTTGTAGGTTCGTTAACATCATTGGCTCAAAAGGGCGGTGCTGTGGTGTTACTATCCTCCTTTGCTGCTGTACGGTGATTGATTGAACTACTCGTTGTTCCTTACGTTTCATTCACGCGGACTTTGACATGGCACAACAAAATATGGTAGTCTGTTAAATTGACTATGGAACTATAAGTCCTTTCGCTCAAATTGTCAAACAATTGCTCTTCTAGACTCTTGCTAGTCTCTAGAAGCTATCCATCTAGAATAAGCCGAAACCAAAAGATACTTACCTTGATACTGATTTCAAAAGCCCAAAACTGCTATCAAAACCGCCTATCCCAAAATACAATTACAAAAGCTTCTTTGGTCCTGCCAAAGGTAGTCGCCTATGCTAGAAAGGAACTTACTCTCGGTCGAAAGGCTGGATCTGATACCAACCATTGGCTTTGATGTTCTCGGAGACCAGCTTGGGAACTTTCTCTAGACGCTCACGGCGAAGGTAGTTGTCCTGCTGAAGGCGCTCAACCAGATTCTCCGGGTTGAGGATGTGGACACGGACAGTGAGCTGCATGACGTCGCCAAAGACGGTGAAGTTGTTGCGACCGTACAACCACTCGAGACCTTGACGAAGACGCTCAATGCTGAAGATAAGACCAGGGTGGATCTGATGATCATGGATTTCAGGCTGGGGCTGGGTGGGTTGGGAAACCATGATGGCGGTAGTGATGAGTTGAGACTGTGGAGTCTAGGTAGCTAGTGGGAGTTAGTTGTGAGTTGGGAATAGCACTGATGCTCAGATAATCAGTTGCGATAACAAGGAAGTGTGTTGATGGACGAGACGGAAAAGAGTTTGGGGTGGAGGAAAGGGAGTTTATATAGCCAGAATAAAGACTGTTCTGGTGATCTACTGTTCATGAATTTATATGAGGTGTCAGGGAATGTGTGGAGTTAATAAGTCAGATCGTTGATTCTCATATCAGGTGAACGTTCATTAACAAGAGAACAATCACTCGAACAGACAATATGACACACAGGACAAGGAAACAATGACTCGTAAAGTGAATAAAGATATTAACAGGGTTAATGGGAGAGATGGCAATGGTGATGCTGCAACAACACTCACCGATTCGACTGTTCTAGGAGGCTACTTGAAGAATCACCTCTACCGACCACGATCTAATTCACTGGCCCTGAAGAATATACATTGTCTGCTTGCGATCCTGAACAAACACGAAAGTAGTTTGAGTCGCTGATAACATTCTTTCTTTCAATACACGAACGTGGCTAAGCATCAGAACAGTCCGATTAACATGTAAATATTCACCTGCTCGACCCTTTATTCCCGGAACATTTGACAATATTCATCAGCACTGACTTTCTCAGACCTAGGCCACTTTCCCCTTCATACCACCAACACCAACCCCAGCCAAGAACAAACCTCTCAGAAGAGCAACCCACCCAGTGAACAAATAATTACCCCAGTCCTGCCACCTAAACTGAGAAAGCTCGAACCGTCCTTGCTGTTTCATGCTGACAGTAACGCTGACGAGAATCGTAATATCAACAAGCAACACGGCGCCGATGATAACTCTCCACACTTGGATGTCAGAACTCATGCGAAGAACAACACCCAGCATGATCCCGATAAGTAAGTATGAGGCGGCGAGTTGATGGAACAGAAATGCTTGGTCGGGGTTGTAAGGTGACATGCTAGATGGGATGAGGCCGTCGAGCATGAATTCGGGGGTGAACATGAGGGAGTAGACGGTTGGGATGAGGACCAGGGGATCGACCCAAGTAAACCAGATGCGGTAGAAACTGTGTACTTTTACTTGCGACATCTGTCTCTGCGTGGAGGAACAGTATATTAGGTATGTATGTTTGAATGGTCTGAAGCGAATAAGAAAGCCCGATACAGCAAGAGGAGTTTCTTACAGTATTTGTAGCCGATCAAAAGAGCGGGGTAGAGTAAGCACTACAATGAGACCAAGGGCGGTTAGAATCTTACAGCGTAAGATATTGGACTGAGAGATGGTGATAATTAACCACGGAATTTCCCGTCTGATCAACTACCAAATTTGATGAATCCAATTTCTCAACATGAGCAATGCTTTGAGTCTGAAAAGCCCTTATAGCAAGAGAGTAACCATAGAAACTGCAGCTAGTTCCATATATGTAAGAATAATTCTCAAGGCTGAAGAAGCGCCACAGGACGGAGAAGATATACCTGTAGACCCTATCTCGTCCCTGTCCGAACTCCTGGTAGCTGTATTATCGCTAGGTGATGAAGGAAGGCGTCTAGACACCTGGCTATCTTTCCGGCGTTATTCTCTTCAGCCTCTATAAGAGCCGTATATTTGAACCCTGTTTGAAGCAACAATCTCAGTATGAGGCACTAAATTCAACAGCACTATTGTATTATAAGGCAGAAACTAGGTCAATTTTAAAACTATAATATATAGCTTATTCATGCAGTTACATACGACTAGTACAAGAGACCTTCCTAATAGCCAAACGCAGTATAGTAATCCCACTGAAACATAGGAGGAACACAAATATCCTCATCACCCTGATCATAAGTCTGTTGCGATCGGCTGTTGTCGCAATTTCCTTCGGTAGCATACAGATCCAATTCACAGTTACCCATTTCTGCAAGCTCAAACCCTCTATGAGGATTAGGAACATGGGTACAATCTTATTGGGCGCGGAGGTATTAGTCATTATACTCAGGGAAGCGTCATCTGGAATGGGTCAAGTATGTACCTCTATTACCACTTCCCCGAAGGTCACCCGTCACCGCCGAATTGCAACTGCCATCGCCATAGATGGTAAATTTCCAAGACTCAGCCGCTGTTGCCAGCAGCACCAGACTCAGGCTGGTCGGTTTCATCTTGCGCGCGAGCACTATTATCGCGTCGACCAGAAACCCGTGCTCGGATCTTGATTAGATCGTCTTCGTATGCCGGGTCATCCAGAAGCCTTCTTCAGCGGACGGCGTGAAGGAGGGCTTGACGGAAAACAGGCACGTCGATCTTGGTGGGAATCTCGATGAATATATCCTTTTTCCACTGTGTGGCATTGATTAGGTAGGTGATTGGGAAGGGAACATTGGCTGCGTGGTCTTCTTCGTACTGTTCAAAGACAATATCACGCCAGGTCTTATTGAGAATTCTGGATGTCATGCTGGGGTAACAGAAGCTCTTAAGGACTGGAATTAGCTAAATATTTATAATATTTCTCTTCACCTTTCGTTTTTGATCAAGGTCTTGCTCGTTATTATCTTCAAAGAGGTACAGTTCTAAATGTAGAGTGTGACTGGCATGTTAAATTAAGGATATTATCGTGTTGGTTGTTAAAGTCGTAGTTTAAAATGCAGGTTATAAATGACGGGTTGAAGTTACTGTATGTGCAATACTATTAAAGTGTGGGGTCAGCAAGATATATGCCTCAGGTTGGATAGATATGTCAAATTACTAAGTTATCGAGAGTAGTTTATAGAAGCATAGTCCTTAGGCGGGTTAATTGTGTATTTCTGTACTCCTATAGGCACTTATCTTGGCCATAATGGAAGACATTTGTTACTTGCCATAACAACTTTCTCTATCTACCGTAAAAGACCAAGCCCAATTAGGACGACCGATTTCCTAATTGAGTTTGAGACACTCAATCTTTTCAAGGCTAAAAACAACACTCTGTTGTGCAAACTAATCACATAGTATGTATTTCACACTTGACATTTCTTGTATATTTGCGCCCTCTTATAAGGGTGTTCGAGAAAGTACCCAACTAGGTAGGAAACATGAAACTGAACTAGCTAGATCAAAAACACCATCCTGCCTGGTGGAACCCACCCTACTAACCAGAACCCCTCCAAGCATTTGAGCCCAAGTCTAATTGCATGGGCCGAACTCGTAGACTGCGAAGCTCTTAATAGGCTTACGAGGGATGCCGAGTTCGTCTTTCCTGCATGATCCCTCGAGGAGTCTGTTCCATGCTTCAGGACCGTCACCCTTACAGTCGAGCTCAGGATAAGCGAAGACGGTCCAGCCGCAGTTGCTGCCGTTCAAAATATCCCCATCAACTTCAGCATTGATGGAAAGAACATCAACGGCGAAGTTGTCAAGGTTTTCGCACCAGGGCTTGTTGTCCCCGTAGGATCCCGTTTCATCGGTACAATAATCATCTGTGTAGACCTTGACACTGATGTTGGGGCGTTCCTTGCGTTTCTCTAGATGAGAATATTGGGCGGAAGTTGGAACGGCCGTGGTAATGCCGGCAAGGCTGATCATGATGGCAAGAGAGGTGGTGACGTTGAAATGCATTGTAAGTTGTTTTGGAGTAGAGGCGATGGTATTTGAAAGAAATAAGCAGGCCTTTGAATTGCTCGTGATAGGTTGAATAGCTTGAGGAAGTAATAGTAGTGGTTGTGTTATTCAATGGAAGAGAAAGCCTAAAGCCAGAACCTCACGTCCCTCTTATACTTTCTAAGTCTCTAGGACACTTATTGCTCAGATGAAGATCGGTGATATCATAGCTAGAATCAACAAGCCTGATAGTAGATAGCTACTTGGTGAGAGGATTGGCGACTTGACAAGGCATTGACGAGAAGTTCTACATAACGTCATAGTGTATAAGATCTTCTTCGGCATACCATAAGTACCTAGCCAGAATATGCACGTTGACTTCATATAGATGAATGTCAAGGGTCAAAGTCAACCTACGGACAAAAGGAAGG